CACCCAACCATATCTTTAATTTATAGATACACATTCTGTTTATTTTGAATTATATTGCAGTTGTACGAAACTAGAACTATTATTTTTCGAATTGTTGAATGAGATTTGTGAAGAAACATTGAGTGAACAATAGAAAAATGACGACTTTATATCGATTCAATTTCCATCTAAGTGTATTAGAACTCTAACATGTCAAATTATATTTCAACTATAGTTGACTGAAATTCGAACATACTAGAAATTATAAATTAAAGATATGGTTGGGTGAAAATTGGAAAAGATTGAAGCATGGCAGGGATCAATCATTTCGAATTGTATGTTTATAGCATGATTATTTGATCATTCGCGATGATCTATCTTGGACAAACGATAGATTTAACTTCATATAATATTCTTTCCAAAGAAAACTCTTCATTTTATATCTTTCATGTAAAATATAATCAAGACTGATCTATCGAAAGCTTATTCAACTTCAACTTAAGTTATCCACTTGATAGATCAAAGAGATGATTCTTTATTTGGAGGAAAAAAATAAAATGACAAATATAAATTATTCATACCTGAGATAATCGATGGTGTTTCTTTTGAAAAACTTTCTAAAAATGTCGTTCGAGGCATCATCGTTGATTTTGATGGAAAATATGTATTTGGTTTATGAACGACAGAAGGAGACTTCAATTCGTTCGAATTGGAAAACGGCGGCTTAACAAGTGTAATAGGTGGCGTAATTTCCTTTAATTGAATAATATGAAGTTCAGGTGCAGGATTTAATTGACCAATCACTTCGAAATATGAACCTGGCATAAGAATAATTTCTTTCTCTGCATGTTTAAAATATGAATGTGCTGCAACAGATTTGCCATTCATACATTCAATTGAAAACAGCGTACGTTGTCCATGTTTACCCAAAAATTGCTCAGATTCAAGTACTTCAATATGAGTAGTACAAGAACTTACTCCCCACCAAGCAAATTTTAAACCATTTTTATATTTTGAACTTAAATCAATACCTCGAACACCGCGCCATACTGTTCCACTTTTTGATGGTAATTTGTATAGAGCAGTAAGAAACAACTTAAGAAAAGAGAACCAAGGTAATACAATCTGTCGATGAATCTCGTTTCACTGATCTTTACAATGAACCTGTAGATCATCTTTTATCACCGATAAAAGGCTATCAAGATATGCCGCCTGTTCCGCTTGCTGAAACTATTGAGCCCATTTCTGGTTTTTTTAATGAAATCGAAGATAAC